AGGAAGGAAGGAAGGAAGGAAGGAAGGAAGGAAGGAAGGAAGGAAGGAAGGAAGACAAGTCTGTTTTGTGTGGTCTGTGAATTCACTGAATCATGGTCAAATTTCTAGTGACCAGCCCTACAAGCAAGGTTAGATGTTCTTCTCTGCCTGTATTGGTGCCAGAAACCATCAGCCGAGGCAAGCCATGCAGTAACTGGAGCAGGGTGAAGCTAGCTCTCCTGAGCATATGCCCCATGTACTGCAGTGTTGTAGGCCAGAGAGTGACAGGGCCAGCTCTCTAGATCCACGGACATTAACATGGCTTGAGACAACAGCAAACATCAACAAGGTCCATGGCCATATCAGGACCACTGATCAACTAATGGCCCTTAGGAGATGGATGCATGGACCACAAGCCTAACAGGGTCTCAAGCGGTTGTTTACACATGTCAAACACATCAGCATGCCCCCACCCCTACCCGAGGCAGCAAAGCCAGAGGACATCACCAAGGTAACAGACGGCAGCATAGACCTCATATGTCCACATGGATCTCAGGTTTCTTCCAAGCCTGGGGCAACAGCATGGACCACAGACACCAATACGGTCTCTGGTGGTATCGTGGACCATGGTGGTACTTCAAGGAGGTTCATTGCAGAAAGTGAACTTTTCCTCATTTTAGGCCTTTGTCCTTTCCCAGAGCTAGATGAATCTTGAAACTGTGTGGCATGTTGAGGGACAGGGGGTGGGGAGTCTGAGGCTGCATAAGATCCAGGCTGTTGTATTTCATTCTGTGGGACCTACTGGACAATGGCAGCATGTTGAGCTCAGCCCTCTCTCGCACCGGACACTTCTGTCAAGTCTCCAGTTCTGCATCTCTCCCTTGGCACACACCTCTCCATCATATATGTGTTCATTCTAGTAGTGCTGGGTAGCTTCAGGCTGACCCACAGCTACAATGTCCTGACCAGTACTTCTTGTTTCTTTCCCATTATATACAAAAATCTATATCTATATCTATCTATATCTATATACACACACACACATATATGTACATGTATATGTATATATGTGTATATCCTATACTATCCTTAATATATTGAAAAGTAAACATACAAACCAGAAGGTTCTTATCTAACATCTACAGTGAATGAAAACATGTAAACTTTATCTTTTTGGGGTCTTGGGTACCTCATTCCACATGATTGTTTCCAACTCCACCTACAAATTTCCTAATTTCCTCCATTGTGTAAACAGACCATATTTTTTGTTATCCACTCTTCAGTTGATAGACATCCAGGCAGTTTCTATATTGCGGATAGAGCAACAATGAGCATGGATTAACGGATATCTCTGTAGTAGGGTAAGGAGTTAGTATCTGGGTTGCAATTTTATCTTAAGTTAGCTCACTTCTGGTCTCAAATATTTCAAAGCAAAGGTCTTCTTGTGTATGAGCTTGTGTATATGTGCTTAAGCCCTAATCTACTCCTTTCCCTATTCAAATAAACTACAATAAATTTGTCTTCTCTCTCCTGCTATTTTGAGACATACTTTAAACACTGAAAAACTTTCAAATATTCTAATGTGTTGATAAAGTCACCAGTTCTGTATTTTAAGGAAGACTGTTTTTCTTGTTGTTACTTCTGTGAGACTATAGGAAAATCCAGGCTTCACTTAGGAATCAGTTAATTCCAATAGGACAACTAGATTTAGACTCTGCACATGATTCAGAATGTTTCAGGTTAGACACACCTCCGATAGATATGTCTTATTATGTCAGCCTTCACTGCCATTCTCAAATTAACATAACTCCTGACCGTCAGTTCATGAACAGACTAACACATATAACCAGATAAGAAATACTGTAGACCTCAGGCATGAATAGTACAGGCCCATTCCACCTAGGTTTAATTCATGAATTTTCATTGTGCTTAGGCACTCCTATAAATACCTTCACACCAACTCTTTCCCACTCCATGTATATAGTAGGAACATAATTCTGCCCTGTCTTTTTATACTGTTTGAGTGGTGAATGTCTTCATATAGTTTCACGTTATCTTATGTAGAGGATGTTTTATTCAACAACATGGCTGCTCTGGCAAGGAATCACATCCAAAAATCTAATCCATCTGGAATCCCATACTTTCAATACAGAAAGGGTGGAAATACAGATATGCCTTTAGCACACATCTTTAATCCTGAATGATGAAGGCAAAGTTAGTTTGTAAAAAGAAGCAACCATGTGTGAATGTTATGTCTAATTGAGGGGCAAAGTGATGAATAAAAGGATTTCACAGAATGAGTCAGAGATAGGATATGCCTAACATTCATGAGGACAGGAAAGAGAGGTGACTTAACTGTGCAGTAGGGGTGTATGAGTGGGAGAGGGAGAGGGAGAGAGAGAGAGAGAGAGAGAGAGAGAGAGAGCACATTACTGGAACAGTTTTATAGAGACAGGTTCCAGGTAAAGACAGAATGAGCCAGAGAATGAGGAGTTAGATTAGAACAAATTGCCAGAGTTTGTTTGAGATCAAGTAGAGCAATTCAGTTATAACCCAAGTGAAGCCTGTTTGAATCAATTATGTTGGGAAGGAGTTTGGACCAGAACAGCTGAGTTGAACCAGCCAGCCAGAGTTCCAAAAGAACTGAAAAGGGTGAATGTACTAAACAGTAAACCTGCACGATGACAATTATATCTGGTGAATCAAAGTTATATTTATACTGTTACTATGCTTTATTTTTATAAGTAGAATTTACTGTATATAATGCAAATTGTGAGTTTTAAAATACTGTTTAGCTTTGCTACTAGGAAATATTTTATGGACAGATAGCTTTTTATCTACAGATTTATTTTTTGTTTATTACAACTTATAAGATTGCCTAGTAAATTTTCATAAGATTGGGCACATAAAAACCTATATGGACCTGTAATTGTTATGATTAAAAAATAACATATGCATACTGTCTTTTTGAATAGGTATTTCAAATATTGGTGTGGCTTTTTATTACTTGTAGATTGCAAAGGTCCTCCTCCAAGAAAAAATTCAGAAATTCTCACAGGTTCGTGGTCTGAACAATTATATCCAGAAGGCACCCCGGCTACCTACAAATGCCGCCCGGGATACCGAACACTTGGTACTATTGTAAAAGTTTGTAAGAATGGGGAATGGGTGGCTTCTAACCCATCCAGAATATGTCAGGGTAAGTACTTCATGTTTGAAAAACATGTGCTTCCTTGACTGTTACATAAGATGCATTCCATGGACCATATACTAATATTGTATCTCCTTTTCATTTTAGAAAAGCCGTGTAGGCATCCTGGAGACACACCCTTTGGGTCCTTTAGGCTGACAGTTGGAGATGGATTTGAGTTTGGTGCAAAGGTTGTTTATACCTGTGATGAAGGGTATGTTGTTAATATTAAAAGGTGTATCCTTGAAACTGCATAGGAACTCTACAAATTAGTACTTTAGGAAAACTAAATTTTCTATTAACATCTAAAATATAACACATAAATAAAACTACATAGGGAATGGTTTTATTTGGATATCATATGATCTCCATAACATTGGAAAGTAAGCAATTTATGATTGTTCTGGCATAGTGTTGAAATAAGGGAGTATTATGTTGCTATACACAAAAATTAAGCACTCAACTCACAAGTCCTTAATACATTACACTATTGTCCAACATGAGACAAGATAGTTTTGTTATTAGAGACAACAAGAATTGTGAAAACAACTACATTATATGGTACCCTCTTAAAAAAATGTATAGTGTTTAATGTAAACAGGACTTACACAAGAAAAAGTATCTCTCCTGAATGCTATTGTTAAAGTTTAGTAGTATGTCAATTACTCTTACTACATACACACCAGAGGCTAATTTGCCAGAATCATTGACTCCCCTCTCTCAACAGCCACTGGTTCTCCTTTTTGATTTTTTTCAGCTCTCAGTAATTTCTTTTAATTGGATATTTTCTTTATTTATATTTCAAACTTTCCCAGTCCCCCCCCCACCTTAGAAATCCCTTATCCCATTCCTCCTCCCCTGCTTCTATGAAGGTGTTTCCCCATCTACCCATCCATCCATCCACCCACCCTCTCTTGCCTCCTGGCCCTAGCATTGCCCTACACTGTGGCCTCTAGCACCCTCAGGCCCAAGGAGCACGCCTCTCATTGATGCCTGCCAAGGTCATCCTCTGCTATATATGTGGCTGGAGCCATGAGTTCCTACATGTGTACTCCTGTTGTTTTAGTACCTGGGAGCTCTGGGGAATCTGGTTGGTTGATTTTGTTCTTCCTATGATGATGTTGCAAACCCCTTCAGCTCCCTTCAGTTCTTTCTCTAACTCCTCCATGGGAGTCTCTGTGCTTAATCGAATGGTTGGCTGTGAGCATCACCTCTGTATTTGTCAGACTCTGGCAGAGCCTCTCAGGAGATAGCTATCAGGAGCCTGGTATAGCTGACTTCCTGACAGGCACTGGTTCTTATGGCAGATATCTTCACTCACTGCTCAGGTCTTCATTTTCTATCATATAGGAAAATTATAGCTATACTCTTATCCCAAATAAGTATAAAGAAAATTAAACACTTTGAATGGAATCTTTTTAGTTGCCCTTTATTTTCTAATTTGAGGCAATAAACTATAACAAGTTATACTTTTCAGATTTTAGAATCAGCTCCAAAATATCCCAAACCTCAAACACTCAATGTTTATAGCATCTTACTCTGATCCCCTCTCTTATAAAAGCAGAAAATGCTTATGAGCATAGTATTAGCAGGAGAAATAAAAATGATCCACACTTGAAGCCCTTCAAATATGAGCCTTCAAATACGCACTAGATTCTCATTTTTTATTTAGCTTCTCCTTGCTCACAAGTTGAAGGATTTTTCAAACTATTCTTTTTAGCCCAATTTTCTTTCTTTCTTATTTTTTGGAGATTTTATTTATTTACATTTGAGATGCCATCCCCTTTCCCCATTTTCCCTCCCTAGAACTCTCCATCCCATCGCCCCTCCTGCTGTTTGTTTTTATATCATTTAATTACATGTAGGTATTAAGGTCAGTTCTAGGTTGAGGGTCTAGCAATACAATACATGCAAATAGTCAAGGAGCAAGCAAGACAATAAGCACAAATAGTCAAAGAATAAGTAAGCCAATAAACAAAATTCCATCAACACTCCTGTGATCACTGTTTCTAAGGGCTTATCAGGATGATCTAAATATCTGAGCCAACTTCCCTGTCCTAGCCCAAAGTCATTTTCATGTCTGAAGCCTACTTCCTTGTTCTAGCCTAAAATTTAGATTCCTGCCTGAAATTACTTATTTATTCTAGCCTAATATTTAGATTCTTGCCTGAAACTACTTCTTTGTTCTAGGCTAATGTCACTTTTATTCCTGCCCATCATGTTAAAGCTTGTCTTTAACAGCATAAACATGTTGGCAACCAAACTACATTACTTGAACCTGAAAATGGACCCCCAGACAGTGTTATTAAATTAACAGACAGGCAAGCCAAGGACAAGTAAGATTCTTCACAGAGCCTTACCAACCTAAGGCAGAAGTGTATTGCTTTGGATAATGCATATTCGGTAAGGAAGGTATTGTCAGAATGACCTAAGACAGGCTCAGTCTTGTTTATAAAAAAAGGGGTGGGGGGAGATGTGGAGAGCTTTTCTGCTTGGCAGAAATCTGACATTGACCAAGGACAAGGAAGTAGACTTTAGGCAGGAATCTGACATTAGGCTAGAACAAAGAAATAATTTTAATCTAATTTTCAAGGTCACTGAAGACCTTATTACATAAAGCCAACAAAGATTGTTTGGCATGGATTTTCCAGGCTACTCCATTCTTCATCTTCAAATTAGCTCAGCCTAGGCCAGCCTTCCTGATTTGGGTTTCACTCTTGTACAGAAAAAGGAAATCAGAACTCATATACGCTCTTCATTTGAATTCCTCAGTCTCAGAACTTAATATTTACAATTTGGTGAAGAAATATAAGATATATATTTGTAGGTATTAATGTTTTCCAGCCCACTTTTAATAAAGATGCAGCCTCTCCTCTAACTCACCACCCAGCAGTGGTAGTGGAAGAGAAACGTTATTAGGATATGGTAAAAATGGACCTGTTCAGCAATCGTTCTTTGGGGGGTGAGCTTGACCTTCTTTGACAGCAGTTCAGTCACCTAGCAAACACCAATATGACTCAGGAGATGCAGAGTAGTGCTCTAGGCAAGCAGACAGTAAACAAAAGCTGGAAGCTACAGACCAATCCTTTGGCAGGTCAACACCAGGCACAAACCAGCAGCTGCCCAAATCTGAAGGAACCAACCATCCTGATGTAAGGCTGTGGAATCTGCAAACTGCTGCAGGAACCTCAGGAGAATTTCTTGGGAGAGTTTCTCAGTGGCAGCCTAGTGAAGAATAGTGAGGCAGAGCAAACTGAATCAACGCTGAGTACTTGTCTCCCACTGTGTAATCATAATTATACTCCTTCACCAAGCATCCTTTCACATATGTGTGAAACTAGAAGTTTCCACTTCACTTACTTACATCTAATTCTTGCTCCCTTGGACTCATTGTTATCTCTTTCATCTTGTATGGCAGAACCTAACTAGGTCAATAATTTTGTATATTGAATCTGAATTACCAACAGAAATCTGTTGGTCAAATTACTGACAATTATCAGTTAAAGTCCTCACGAAATGTAGGATAAAAATAGGTAAAAGTAGTTCATATTAATTTAAATTTCTAATGAAGAATGTTTTATCTATCTTGAGGAATAGTTGTTTTCTAACCAGAAGTGAAAAGTAAGGATAGGATAGTGTAATGGCCCATTCTGCTCCTCTGGTCCGCGGGTCAGGGCCTAGCAAGAGAGAGAGTGGGGATGGAGACGTGAAGAATGGAGACAAGATGGGGGTCTGACCACTAGGTCAAGTCTCTCCTCAAGTCTCTCCTCAAGTCTTGCCTCAAGTCTCACCTTTATTGAAAGGAAATCAAGGGTATATATAAGAACAAGCAGGGGGATGTAGCTGAAGACACTTTACCATGTGCACCCTGCAGCTGGGAACAATAAGCAACAAAACAAATATGTGAGAAAAGCAAGATAATTATCAGAGAGTGCTCAGCTGTTGTAGGCTGTTGAAAACAAGTCTCTTGTCAGGGTATACGGCTCAAGATGGCTGCAAAAATGATAGCCTCTTTCTGCTCAGAGTCGGCTCCCAACAGGCCCCCCTTTTTAAATTTGTTTTCAAAAGGGAAGGCTGGAAAAACTTACGGAAAACGTGTCTGTCTTAGATTGAAACAAAGGACCCCAGCCTCCCTTTCCTGTTTCTGGATACTCAACAGCCATTGGTTGAGCTCCTGTCTTAGGATGGTGAGGCCTCCCAGTTTGGGGCAAGGGTCTTGAAGTGTTCTCTTACCCATCATTGACTATCTGGCTTAGCGCGTAAGTTAGGGGTTAATCAGTCTTAATGACAGAGGTTTTGGAGTCCCCTACTTCCAGCCTGTAATAACGGACCTGTATGGGTTTCATTTGAATAGTGTCTATTCCTACAAAAGCCATCAGTTTGTTGAACAATGTGAACCCAAGAGACAAGAGACTTAGCAATGCTTGATTGGTCAGTGCAAAAGCAACACTCTTTTTAGGGTAGCACATAACTCCTTCTGTTAGAGGAGTAAAAAGTATAAGCCTCTTCTATTCTGTAGCACTATTTCAGCTAAGAAGGATAATGAATTTTACAAATGCATTATAGCAGATTCCATTCTTTCTAAATCTAAATCTATAGAAGTACAGAACTGATCATAGCTTTGATCTTAACAAAACAAATAAAGAAAATCCCCATTCCTGTCCCAGTCAATCTTAACCCCCCCCCAAAAAAAACAATTATAGTAATGGGTTTTCTCCTGAGTCTAAACAATGTACCCCACTAAATCATAAATCAGGGAACCAAAAGTCCAATAGAGCCACCCTGGAGGTGTGGGTGGTGATGTCTTCTTCCACACTGAGAACTTCCCAAATCCAGTATGCTGGTTGATCCGCTCCTGTTTGAAGACAATTGTGAAGCATCTTCATGTTTCCTGTAAAGAAAAAATACGCTTCTCGGGGGTTTATTCTCCCTGGATTTGTTATTGTTGTCTATTTGTTTGATCAGTCTCTCTGGCAGTCAGCATATGGCATCTGCCGTTTGGGAATATATGCAGACAGAACCTCTTCCCCAGATAAGTACTGGATCTGGCCCATTCCAGGCTGCAGTTAATGGGTCTTTCCAGAGGACTGTTGCAAAATTCTTTTTGGCATCAGGATGCCAGAATCTATCTGCAGCAGATTTTCCTTCAGAATCCAAAGTTAAAAAATTTAAAATAAAGAGCGTGTGATGAAGGATATTTCTGCGGGACCCTTTAGTATGGTACCATTCCCCACTTTTAATTTTTTCAAATTGACATTTAATGGTTTGATGTGCCCTTTCTACCTTGGCCCTGTGGATTATATGGAATACCCGTTTTATGTAGTATTCCCAATTTTTCACAAAATTGGTGGAAACTGGAGCTTGTATAACCTGGGCCATTGTCAGTCTTGATCTGTTTTGGCACACCCAATATAGCGATTGTAGCAAGCATATGATTGATCACATGTTTGTTTGCTTGCTTCTCCAGTTTGTAATGTCGCATAAATAAAACCACTGTATGTATCTCCACATACGTGTATATATTTTTGATTTCCAAATTCATTATAATGGGTAACATCCATTTGCCAGAGACTGTTTGGTATCAGTCCCTTTGGATTCACACCTGAATGAGGAACTGGTAAAAGTTTAACACATGATTGACATTGTTTGACAATTTGTCTAGCTTGTTCTCTGGTAATTTTAAACATGATCTTTAAAGTTTTAGAATTAAGGTGATGTAACTCATGAGCCTTTATGGCCTGTTCTAACTTAGATGGCAGATCTGATAAAGTCACTGCAGCTATACGAGTGGATAGATCTGCCTTGGTGTTTCCTTCAGCGAGAGGACCTGGTAGCTCAGTGTGGGCTCTCAGGGGTCCTATAAAGAATTTACACTTTCTCCTCAAAATTAATTGTTGGCACTCTAAAAACAAATCAGCTGCTTCTGAGGAGTGCTTTATTTGTGCAACTGTTTCTAGCAGAGGAATAGATTGAGCTATATATGAACTATCTGTGTAAATATTAATGGTTTCATTTGGAAATGCTTGAAACACAGCAAAAACAGCATGTAATACAACAAATTGAGCTGACACAGCTGATGTAGCAAAGGAAATTACTTGATCCTTAAAGGCATAAGCAGCAGTTCCTGCTGAGGACCCATCAGTGAAAACCAGCAATGCTTCCTTTATAGGTGCATGCACAGTACGAGATGGAAAAACAAATGCATGGCGATTACAAAATTGAACTAATTTGTCTGGTGGATAATGGTTATCTAGTTGACCACCAAATGAAGCACATGCTATAGGCCAAACTTTAGAACTCTGCATAAGCCAATTAACCTGATGTCTTTTATATGGTTGTACTATGACATCGGGATCTTTTCCAAAATATTTTCAACTGTTATATCTGCCTAACATAATCATATCTGCTACAGCTGCATAGTATGGATAAAGAATCTTTTTAGGGGATGAGGGAAGATGAACCCATAATATGGGTGCAGTTTGCCAAAAAACTGCAGTAGGAGTTAGTTTAGTGTTAAAAGTAAGAAAATATAAAGGCTTAGAATAATTAATATGAGTTACAAATTGGGATGAAATAGCATTCTCAACCTTCTGTAAGACTTTTCTACCCTCTTCTGTTAGAGCCCTGCCAGACTTAGGGTCAGGATCTCCTTTGAGAATGTCAAACAAAGGTTTCAACTCTCCTGTCATAAGTTTCAAATATGGTCGTAGCCAATTAATGTCTCCCAACAGTTTTTGAAAATCATTAACTGTCTTAAGTGAATCAGTCCTCAAGGTAGCCTTACTGTTAATAATACGTGGACCATTAATTTGAAATCCAAAATAAGTATATGGATCTTGTAATTGTACCTTTTCTGGTGCTATTTGTAACCCTGCAGTCTGTAAAGCTGTTTTAAGATCATAAAAGCACTGGAGTACCTGTTTTCCATCTTTTCCTGCTATTAAAATATCATCCATGAAATGAATCATGTAGATTTGCTTCCACATGGTTCTAACACTGTCTATGGCAGAAGCCACAAACTTTTGGCACAAGGTAGGACTGTTAGCCATACCCTGAGGCAAGACTTTCCATTGATATCTTTTCATAGGTTTTCTAAAGTTTATAGCGGGAACACTAAAAGCAAATCGCTTTCTATCATTAGGATGCAAAGGGATAGTAAAGAAATAGTCTTTTAAATCTATAACTATTTTATAATAGCCTAAAGGTATGGTCACTGGTGTGGGCAGCCCAGGTTGTAAGGCTCCCATCAGAATCATGGTCGTGTTAACAGCCCTCAAGTCTTGCAACAATCTCCACTTTCCTGACTTTTTCCTAATGACAAATATTGGGGTATTCCAGGGAGAGTTAATCTCTTCTAAATGTGGGGACGAAGACAGGGTCTGATCTATTCTCTCCTTAAGTCTCACCTCAATTGAAAGGAAATCATGGGTATATATAAGCACAAGCAGGAGAACAAAGCTGAAGACATTTACCACCTGCACCCTGCAGCTGGGGGCAATAAACAACAAAACAAGATATGTAAGAAAAGCAAGATAATTATCAGAGTGTGCTCAGCTGTTGTAGGCTGTTGAAAACAAGTCTCTTGTCAGGGTATATGGCTGAAGATGGCTGCAAGGTGATAGCCGCTTTCTGCTCAGAGTCTGCTCCCAACAGGATAGGCTTATTGTGTCCCTTTATTTTGCTCATGCTTTGCCTATGTCCTAAGCCTATGTTCAGTTCTATTTCTTTATCTAAATTTTCTCGGCTGAATATAGGTTTGATTACATACTATGTAGTAGAGTGATTCCTTATGAGCAATGATTTTATTGTCCAAAATCATCGTGAATGATTTTAAGATGACATTGGAAACTGCTTTTTCTCTCTGTATGGTCAACTATTTTTTATTACTTTCCATGAAATACGTCCACTAAGGTTTTGTGTAGAATTTTATAGATTGTCTGAAGGAACTTAGCACAATGGATGGGTCTCTACAGTGGATACAAAGTCTTTACCAGGAATTTCATTTCTTTTCTGTTGGAAAAGAAATTGTTCTATCTCCTCTACAGCAAGTATCAAATAAACCCTTAACTCCAGGATCCAAGAATAACATATTCTATTGAAGTATTTTCTTTCCATAAAGTTTTAAGAGCAAGATAAAAATAATTAAGAATGACAATTATTTTTTCCCTTTGAAATCTCTTACTGGAGGATATCTAAGACTGTATAGAGCTTTAAACTACATAAAACACATGATGTCTCAACACAAATTATACTTGTGCTTTTAGGTATCAACTCTTAGGTGAAATTGATTACCGTGAATGTGGTGCAGATGGGTGGACCAATGATGTTCCAATATGTGAAGGTAAATGAAAAACAGATTTATATGTATGCTTAAATATTTAAAATAGATAAGATTTCCAAACTGTGTAGAAAAATATTCTTAAAGTATATACTTATCTATTTCATATATATATTTCTTCAATTCCTTTTTTACAGTCCAGTCATTATCTCCCTCCTGGTCTGCCCTCTGACTGTTCTTCATCCCACTCCTCCTCCCCAGTTTTTAAGAGGATGTCCCCACCCTCTTCACCATTGCCCCGTGAGACCTTCCCACACTACAAGGCCTCAAGTCTCTCAATGGTTAGGTGCCTCTTTTCTCACTGAGGCCAGACCCAGCAGTCCTCTGCTGTATATGTATCAGGGGCCTCATATCAGCACATGCATGCTGCCTGGATGGTGGCTTGGTCTCTGAGAGATTTTGGGGGTTCAGATTAGTTAAGACTGCTGGTCTTACTGCTGGTTGCCTCCTCTTCAACTTGTTTTAGCTTTTCTCTAATTCAACCATAGGGGTTCCCGGCTTCTGTTCATTAGTTGGGTGTAAATATATGCATCTGACTCTTCCAGCTGTTTGTTAGGCCTCTCAGAGGGCAGCTATGCTAGACTTCTGTCTGTAAGCACACCAAAGCATCAGTGATTCTGTCAGACCTTAGAGCCTCAGCTTGAGATGGATCCCAATTTGGACCAGTCACTGAAAATCCTTTCCCTCAGTCTCTTCTCCATTTTTGCCCCTGTAGTTCTTATTTATAATATCTTGTATTTGTATCACTATTATGAGAACACTAAGTCTAGAGGATGGTGAATTTCTTAGTACTAGTGTTCATTCCTTGAGGTGTTAGGTTTGACACACATCCTCATCAATAAAACTCAAAACTTTCTAAAAACATAATAAATATGAATAGAGATTGATATAATTTTATGATCTAAGTTCTGAATATTAGAAATACCAAAGCCAATTTTTGTTCATTTTATATTTCAAACAACAATAATACACATGATCATCACTAGCTTATAAAAAAAGATCACAATTTGAAGTATGTTTATGAAGCATGACATCCCTAATAACCATCTAATTACAGGGATGTAGGCTATCACTGTGGTAGAGAATGCTATGGAAATATCTTTCAACAATATGATGCTGTGAAGGTATTCCCATAACCTTAAATTTAGGGAAAGAAGGAAGGACACGTATTAAAAATGAACTCTTGCTTTTCACTTCTTGCTCATATGTTGCTCATATGTAAAGCAAACAGCAAGAATGAGAAAATACAGGTCTTGTTTGTGAGTTTGGAGGAAACATGTAAATAACAAAGGTCCATCCAAATGCTGTGTCCTACTTCCTTGGGAAGTAATAAATGAGAGAAAGAAGAGGTGGAGTGGAAGAAGAGAGAGAAGGAGAATGTCATGGACATTCTCCTATAGAGACTTTTCAAGTGAGGAAAGGAGAAATTGTTCCAGGGAACATCTACATCACAATTTGCATGATACTTGTTTAAAATTGAGGTTTGAGGCCTCCAGATGGCCTGTTGAGTCAGTGTCTTTGGGTAATAAGACAAGGAAACCTCTCTAGGGTATCCTTTGCATCCAAAGTTTCCTTCAGGAAAGTAACTTCTAATTCATTCATGACAGAGAAATTTTAAGTAAAAAAATATTTTTAAATATTTTGAGCACTTAGGTGAAAAGGAAGGAAATATTACAGTTTTTTTCTATCAGAGGGAATATCTTAAAATTCACTACTTTTACATCTTACTAGAATGCAATATCACATTGCTTTGAAGCATCAATAAAACATTTGTATTAGACTATTCCAAAAACTCATATTTGTTCACAATTTAGGAGACACTTGCTATCATGAAGATGTAAACTATCACTATAAGTAATAGTTTTCTTTTCCCATTCCCATAGAAGGTGATAAGCAAACTACTTGTGTTACTTAGCTTTTATATGTTGCAAATAGTGATACTGAATATTTCAAACACTGAAGTCATTTCTTCCAGGGTTCGCATGCTGCGTTCTGGGGTTTTAATTCACATACATGTGCTTTATGTGGAAAGTTTCAAGTTCTGTTAGTAAAAGACACACTTGTATTTTCAGTTGTGAAGTGCTTACCAGTGACTGAACTGGAGAATGGAAGAATTGTGAGTGGTGCAGCAGAACCAGACCAGGAATATTATTTTGGGCAGGTGGTGCGCTTTGAATGCAATTCAGGCTTCAAGATTGATGGACAGAAGGAAATGCACTGCTCAGAAAATGGCCTTTGGAGCAATGAAAAGCCACAATGTGTGGGTAAGGTACACATATGTGTCTGCTTCATAATTGAATTATTTTAGCTATTCTAGTGAAATATATATATTTTAAATCACATATTTAATTAAAATAGATTTGCACCACTCTAATACTTACTAAGCATGACTGTTTCCCTGTAATTGAAGTTTTTTTTGCATGAACTCTTTTATTTTGCCTTCAGAACAATATATTTCATGCCCTTGTATGATCTCTTTAATGAAATAGCCAGGGTGTCCATGAATAACATGGCTTAATGTCTTGGATAGGATGTAAATACAGATTACAACCTGGTGTTCCTATTCAGTCTAAGATCAGCATTTCTGGTGAGTGTTGTAAAACTCGCTTGTATAGCATTTTTTTTTATAAAAGTTTTGGAAGCCAAAAGTTTATTGTATGTTTACAATTACACATCATGATGACATTTTGATTTCAACTTTCATTGTTAAGAAGTATATTTGCTAGGAATATATTTGTTTCAAGTTTTAGTTTTGAAGACATTCTAATTTTAATTAATATTGGTAGGAAGTAATTATAAATCTGTGCATATGTATATAAAATAGATATACATACACACACACATATATATATGTATATACATATGTCACAAAACACACACAAACATACATATGTATTGCAAGTTTAAAATCAGTTTTACATATGTTAATTGAATCTACTAAACCAAAGTTATATAATAAATTGTTAATTAATATATCTTTGATTTTTTCCTTTTTGTTCTTCTTCTCTTTCACTGCCTCCCCAATCTTCCCCCACATCTGTTTCTTCTTCCTTTTTCTCTACCTATACTACTTCCTCCTCCTCCTCCTCCTCTTGCTCCTCCTCCTCCTCCTCCTCCTCCTTGGAGACAGCCTTTCATAATGTATTCATGGCTGGCCTGAACCTGATATGTAGTCCAGAGTTCATATAGCTTCTATCTTACAGCAGTCTCCTCAAAGTTGTCATATGAGTTTTGAGATTACCTCCATGTGGCACTGTACTTACACTATATTTATTTTTAATATTATCTAACATCTTGTCTTGAACATTTTCAGCATTCTTTAGCATTATCTACCTTACCCTAATGAAGTCAGGGTTTACTTCTTTTCAAATTTAGTTTTATTTTGAGATAACAACTACATAATTTCCTTCCTTCAGGACTGACTGTTTGCTGCTGACAACTCTTTCTAACAGCACTGATTCTTCATGAAAATAATGATATAACAATAATTATATTCAGTGTGGCATATACTTCACACATTGAAGTTTAATGGGTGCAACCTATATGAATATAGTTAATTGTTTATGGCTAATGAAACCTAGGAAATTCTGATCCTTGAGATTAGTTTTCTTCATAGTGATTTTTTTTATTCTTTAATCTTTTTTTTTCAGTCCAGTCTTTATTCCCCTCTCAGTCTTCCATCTGACTGTTGAACATCCCATACCTCCTCTTCTGGTCTCCAAGAGGATGCCTATACTCCCCCACACCCACCTCATCAGACCTATCCACTTTCTGGGTCATCAAGCCTCTTGAGGGTTAGGTGCTTAAAGGACACATACATTATATTCTAGTGAAAATAAAGAGGACAAGCATAACAGCCCTCAGAAGGCTAGATGGAGAAAGCTGAAAAAAAAAACCACCAAATTATCTACAGCAAGATTCAGTTCAGAGACTCATCAGCTGTTCATGGAGTCCCAATGTAGGATCCTGCTGCATTACTGTGGAGATTAGAACAAACTTCCAATAGGAAACTGAGATATCTAACTAAGGATACCACCAATGCTCACCTTATTGAACAAATTATTTTGTTAGACTTAGAGAGTAGAAATGTCTCAAAGAGAGCTGCATCAGCAAAAGCATAAGCAATGGGGAAGGCTTACAAAAGCTAGGAACCTGGAGAACATTGCACAGCTTGTAAGATCCATAGTTTGGAGGGTGTCTCTTTCATGTAGTTCACATAGTCTGAGGGTCTTTCGTGAAGCTCAGCTGATCCAAAAGTGCTTAACAGCACTTACTACTGCTTATGTATGCACGGGGAGGGAGGGAGGGACCTAGTCAATATGGTCAACTTCAAGGATTTCCTGAAGCTTTTGAATTGTTTACTTTCTGAGCTTCCTTGGAGGATAGGATGTTTTACTTCCCTTTAGAGCAGTGGTTCTCAACCTGTGACCCCTTCCGAAGTCAAACAAACCTTCCACATGGGTTGCCTAAGACTGTTGGAAAACATAGATATTTACATTACAATTCATAACTGTAGCAAAATTACAGTTACCAAATAGCAGTGAAAATAATTTTATGGTTAGGGGGGTCACAATACAGGAGGAACTGTATTAAAGCATAGCAGCATTGGACAGGTTGAGATCCACTGCTTTACTGCATCCTATTTCCATAAGTGCTTCCCTCCGAGATGGAGTCTTTTATCATATTTATTTATTTATTTATTTACACTCCAGATTTTATTCCCCCCAAGCCCCATCCACCCTCCAACTGTTCTATGTCCCATACCTCCTCCCCACCCCCCACCCCACCCCATCCCCCTCACTCCCCATCCCCATCCCCCTCACCTCCCATCCCCCCACCCCCACCCCCCAACCTCACCCCCACCCCCACCCCCCACCCTCCACCCCCAGTCTCCACAAGAATGTCTCCACCCCTCACCTCCCACTGCACCTGACCACTAAACTCCCTGGGGCCTGGTTGGTGGTCTAGTGCTTGAGAGATCTCAGGATTCAGGTTAATTGAGACTGCTGGTCCTCCTAGAGGGTTTCCCTCCTTCTCAGCTTCTTTCAGCCTTTCCCTAATTCAACCATAGGGGTCAGCAGCTTCTGTCCATTGGTTGGGTGCAAATATCTGCATCTGACTCTTTCAGCTGCTTGTTGGGTCTTTTGGAGGGCAGTCATGATAGGTCCCTTTTTTAAGCACTCCACAGCCTCAGTAATAGTGTCAGGCCTTTGGGACCTCCTCTTAGCTGGAACCCACTTTGGGCCTGTTGCTGGACCTTCTTTTTCTCAGGCTCCTCTCCATTTCCATCCCTGTAGTTCTTCCAGACAGGAACAACTATGGGTCAGAGTTTTGACTGTGGGATGACAACCCGCTCTCTCATTTGATGCCTTGTCTTCCTTTTCGAGGTAGGCTTTATAAGTTCCCTCCCCCTACTCTCAGGCATTTCACCTAACACTCCCTTTGAGTTCTGAGAGTCTCTCAACTCCCAGGTCTTGGTGCATTCTGGAGGGTTCCCCCCAACTTCCTATCTCCCTAGGTTGCCTGTTTCCATTCTTTCTGCTGACCCTCAGGGCTTCAGTCCTTTTCCCTCAGACAATAGCAGATCAGGTTCCCCTCTTTCCTCCCTCCCGTCTTTCCAGGTCCCTCCCTCCCTCCCCACTTGTGATTGCTTTCTTCTCCCTCCCAAGTGGAACTGGGGCATCCTCACTTGGTCCCTTCAGCCTGCTGACCTTTTGAGTTCTGTGAACTGTATCTTGGGTATTCTGTATTTTTCTTTCTTTCTTTTATTTGTGTGACTAATATCTACATATTAGTGAGTACATACCATGCATGTCCTTTTGGGTCTGAGTTATCTCACTCAGGATGATATTTTCTAGTTCAATCCAATTGCCTACAAAACTCAAAATCATCATTCACCACCATCAAGTAGACTTCCTCCCAGGGATGCAAAGTTGGTTCAATATATGAAAATCCATTAACATAATCCACTATACAAATAAACTCAAAGAAAAAAATCATATGATCATCTCCTTAGATGCAGAAAAAGCATTTGACAAGATAAAACACCCATTCTTGTTAAAAGTATTGGAGAGATCAGGAGTCTTTTAAAGAAAATTGCTACTCAACAGTTGAAGAGAGAGAAGTCAGTAAGAGAATGAATATAGGCCCACACAGTTCCTGCTTGTCATAAATAGCTCACCTCTTGTTCAGATTGATTTGGGTAAAGATAAAACATTTCAAAGTGATCTTTTAAAAGTTTTTTTTTTCATTTCTTTTAATTGGATATTTTCTTTATTTACATTTCAAATGTTATCCCCTTTCCTGGTCCCTCCTGAGACCCCCATCCCATCTCCCTTCCCTTGCTTCTATGAGGGTGTTCCCTCACCCATCCACCCACTCCTGCCTCCCCACCCTTGAATTTCCCTACACTGGGGCATCAGGCCTGTACAGGACCAAAGGCCTCTCCTCACATTGATGTCAGACAAGGCTATCCTCTGCTACATATGCAGTTGGAGCCATGTATACTCCATGTATACTACTTGGTTGGTGGTTTTAGTTACAAAGAAGGAAAAATGGATTAAAAGGATGGAAGAAGATGCTTTGAAAGACCAGTTAGTAGTGCCATAGTCTCAGAGTACTGTATTTGAGAGAACTTTGTTAAATGTGGTTGCTAGGAATTTCGCAGGTTTGTTTCCTCTCGTTTTGGTTTTTGCTTTTTGTTTGTTTGTTTGTTTGTTTTATTATTTTATTATATATATATATATGTATATATCTATATATATATGTGGTGAAGGCATCATGACTTTCAAAGATCAAATGAAAATTAATAGATTTTCTGGAAAAAGTACTGTGTCTTGAAAATTACTGTCAATAATCAGAAGTTGTATTATTTTCCAGATTATTGAAAGAAATATTAACTCATAAACCTGTGTCTATTTTTATTTTCACAAGATTGTTACTGGCTCTCATTTATTTCAAGAGTCTAATTTGCCATCATGTTCAATATAATTAATAATAAACTTTTAATTTCTTTCAAAAATGAAAATCTGAAACAACAGATACGTGATCAAGAGGGCAGTCATGCCAAAGCAACTTTTGTTTTTGTTTGCTGATTTTGACTGATTGATCTAATGGGAACAAAACACTGTCATTGTAAAAATATGACATACTCAGCAGATTTTCTTTCATAGTAAACATCTACAATTACTTTCTTGCATTTAGAAATTTCCTGCACGCCACCGCGAGTTGAAAATGGAGATGGTATATATGTGAAACCAGTTTACAAAGAGAATGAAAGATACCAGTATAAGTGTAAGCAAGGTTATGTGTACAAAGAAAGAGGGGATGCTCTCTGCACGAGTTCTGGATGGAGTCCTCATCCTTCCTGTGAAGGTGACATTATTCTTATTTTCTATGTCTTTTATTATTTAAGAAGTAAAACAGTGAATGGAAAAGAAAGATGGCATCACAAATCCATGCATTGAGCTTAACCATCTGTTTCCATGATGTTTATGAATCCTAATCAGAGAAGCAGTATCTCATTAGTCCTCTGACATTAAACCTCTGCATAAGATTAGCTCCAAGTGTCCTCCTAAATAGACCGTTTATCCTCTAAAAGATAAAACTACAACCTATAATATAGTTATTTTGTATCAAGACTTGTGCTTAAGAGGAAGGTTTCAAACAATCATTCCAGTTTCAGCTGAATCCAGTTTTCCATGGAAGCATTAGGATTCCATAGAATATTCATACCATACCAAGTAACATAGAGCAGAGTTGAAGCT